AAATTGGATTTGACGGATGATGTTCTCAAAGTGCTGGTGCTTCATACCATAGTTTGATCCGCAATTTTTTTGCAGTGTACCTATGTGAAAATTGAAAATATATTTTATGTTTGAAAGTGTTTCTAAAAATTTTCCTTTTTCTTTTCAAAAGATAATATACATTAAAATTTTATTTATAAGAAAGCAAGCATTCTCATTTTATTCCGAAAAACTAAATTTCAAGGAGGAAAATAATCTCTTAAAAAGGATGCAGTGAAAATTGTTATACTTTAATTTAAGACTTCATACTTTCAGAGAAAATGATGTTAGTTAATGCAACTAAGCTATATAATACTAACAAGGAATAGTTCAGCCCTATCTAATCCTAACAGACAAGTTTTATATATCTTGTCATTACAAAATGATGGAAATATTATAACTTATCACAACCTTTCTAAACATCGTAGGATTATGATATGATTATAACTATGGTGTAAGTAAGATTATTGTGTAGATGGATTTTATTATTGATTACTTAGAATTCAAAATTATTTCGTATATATTAAACATGATTTACTTCATTTTAAATATTATAGTCAAACGACAGAAACTAAATGTATATATAAAAAAATCAATTTTCTTAAAAATTAATATTCTGAAATAAAAGTAGTGTGAATTAGCATTTTTTGTCATTTTGTTTAAATTTTTTGCATAACTCTAGAGAAATTGATTTGATTCTAAAATTATAGGATTCATTATACTGTTCTTTTTTTAACAAAATTATTTTCAAGACGATTAAATTACTTTTCATGAATAATGACTTGTAAAAAATATTATTATTATGAATAATGACTAAATTTGTTATGAATTATGTTATTACTATTATGAATAATGAATGGCTAGTTTCAGTCTATTATGATCGATCATGGGACAGAGATAACCTGGTTGTTAGTGAGTTGGGTCTATGGTCTAGAGCAGGGATGGGCAAACTACGGTCCGCGGGCCAACTGTGGCCCTCTGGAAGATTTTATCCGGTCCACGGATAGAATTTTTATTTGCCGATCAGTGGCAAATATAAACAATATACATCCATTTTCTTGTCGACTATGTTTAAAATTATTTCTGTTTTTCCTTTTTCAACCAAGTACTGATGAAGCTTTTGCTTTCTCTATTTTTGTTCTACAAAACATAAATTGAGGGAAATAGTTAGCTCAGACAGCTTCAATTGGTAAAATGTTGAAAGCAGAAGTTCTTTATAGAATAGCCGTAGATTGGCTCCAACTAGCGCTTGTCTCTCTCGAGGAGCTGACTTATGGAATCTAATATAGGTAAATTGCGCTTCACATTTGGCAGACTGCGCATTTTACGTTCTAAAGAGCGGACTATTTAACAATCATCTGAAGCAGTCGTTTTTAAATACTATTCCAAAGTTTTACAAATCATTACCAAGGGCCGGGATAGCCTGGTCAGTAGGGCGCTGGGCCCATGTCCAAGAGGTCATGGGTTCGATCCTTGCCGGCCGAAGACTCCCCGTGTAGTAAATGGTGACTGATGTACGTTAAATCTGTCGAGTCTCAAAGTCCTCCATGTTCCCACAACAAATCAATACCTCTGGGGGTACTGATCCAGGAGTTTCCTTGTCTTCTGGATTGGTTCAAAATTACAAGGCTACGGAGTTGAACATTAGTAGTCGTAAACTCATGAAATTGGGTCGGCTGTTCGGTTATAAAATAAAATAAAATCATTACCAAAAGCTAGTTTCCGAAACTTAATATTTTATGCCCAGAAAATCAGTGCATGTTTGCTTAATCTTATATATGTGAGCAAGAGTTTTCAACTATGAACCTTAGAAAAAATCATTTCAGAAGTAGACTAACAACAAAACATTTAGCCTTGTTCCTTAAAACAAGCACATTTCACTTCCAACCTTAATGTAAGGAACTTTTAAAAATGAAATCGCAATTTCCTTCATCTCACTAAATATTTAAATTAAAACTTGTATATCACCTTTTTTTCTTAAATTTTGAAGTTTTTACTTGGCCCACCAAACAATTTTTTTCTTGATTTTTGGCCCCTCGATCAAAAAAGTTTGCCCACCCCTGGTCTAGAGGTTGTGAGTTCGATCTCCACCAGCTGAAGACTCCCTGTATAGTAAATAGTGACTGATGCACGGTAAATCTGTCTGGTCACAAAGTCCTCAATGTTCTCATAACAAATCAAATCTCTGAGGATACTGATCTGGGGATAGATCGTTCTCTGGTTCAGGTCAAAATTAAGATATGTGGATGAATAAATGATTGCATGAATGAGCCCTCTCTATAAATGGGCTGTGACGTGTGTGCGGATGAAGTTGTATTCCTGGCTAATAGATAGCGCCGTTGAAAAAAAATGCACCCTATGCCTTAAAATTGCTTGGTTTCACCAAGTAGGCTTGCTGGTATATGGCAGTGGCATTAGAAACAACAACAACAACATGATCGATCGACAACATGATCGCTTGAGTTCATTCAAAAGGTTCATTTTTTTACTTTGAATATGTTTTCAAGTTCTCGCAGACGTAGAGCACTACTATAGAGTGGCTAGTTGTAGCAAATTTTCATTGGAATTTTTTTAAAACTTTTCTGTTTATTTAGAAATTATAATATTTGCGTTTTACAATGTCGAAACTGAAAGTTCAAATTTAGAAATTAGATTAAAAAATCTCTTTTTTTGAATGATAAATTAAAAATAAAGTCCATTTTAAAAGTATTTTTAGTCAGCAATTTGTTATCTGATTTCAAACTCCGATGAGAAATCATCCGCAAAATTATTATCTTTTAAATGCGCAAAAGATTATTATCTATTAAAATCTGAAATATTTTATATTTTGGTTTTATTATACAGAATTATGGTTATTTTTTGTTATTACCATAAAAAAATGGTAATTTTGCCAGAATGTTTTTCTCTGTGCAACAAATAGCACACGTGACTAAAGGGAAATTTCCCCATAGCACAGCAGAGTGTTCTATTGTTAGCCATTTTTTTCCTGCTGTTACAAATGTGTTGAAACAGGACTTATTTCTTTCTTTATTTTTAGGAGCAACATTAATCTGTTCGCTGTATGGTGTACTTCGGATACTTCTAAATTCATCAATAAAAGATACCTCTTCCTTAATGACATTCCATCACATAATCTATGTATCGACAATAAGCTTGCTAACACTCGCAACTTCCGTCACTGGTGGATCAGTGGCTGTGTAAGTATGACTTTTATGATTTCATTGCGTTTCGAATTAATTTTCGTTCCTAAATTTTAATTTTTATTGTGAATCGAAAATAAGATTATATTACTCTATGTGCAATGCCAATATTGGCAAATTGAGCCGCGATGTTTCAGGGGATAGAGCGTTCGCCTTCCAACAGGGTTCGAATCCCAGTCGATACGAATTCCGCATCCAGCTTGCACCGACCGCAGAGCTGACGTGAAATATCCTCAATGGTAGACGGATCATGGGTTAGCGTCCCCTTGCTGTCAGGTTAACCGTGGGAGGTTCTCGTGGTCTTCCTCTCCATGTAACGCAAATGCAGGTTAGCTCCATCAAAAAGTCATCCGCGAGGGCGAAATTTCTTCCAAAACTCGATCCAGGAGTTCCCTTGTCTTCTGGATAGGGCTCAAAATTATTAGGTTACGGAGTTGCATATCGGTAGTCGTAAACCCATAAAATTGGTTCAACGACGGTTATGAAATATGAAATTATGAAATATTGGCAAATTATGCTACAGGCGGAAAAATTTTTTAATGCGAGCGTAAGTTTAAGAGAATTTTTTTTATTAATATTGAATTTTATAAGGTGTGATAAAGTTTGACAAGCTTATCATGATACTTCAGAGCATGGTACAAAATGTTAAACAACTATACACATCATGCGTAACAACTATACATAATGTTTATAATTAATATTATAATAATTGTTTTTACTAATTGTTATATTATGATTTAAGGATCATCATAAGCTTAAAAAAATTTAAATTGCCAAGAACGTATTCTTTTATCGTCTGTTTATTTTACTTTTTGCAAGCAAATATCCTTTCGCTTAGTATTACTCTTTTTATTTTTAAATAAAAAAAATGGAGAAACTAGAAAAAAAGTGAACATTAACCTGACGTGTTGTGATTCGGTTAATTAAAGATTTTCTAATACTTTTTGGAAAATATACATCGATCTCGATAAAAAAGTTATGTTAAAGCACTAAAGTTGAATTTTATTAACAATTTTAAAATATCATTGGCGTCAAAAATATTTTTAAGAAAAAAAGGAGTTTTTTTTTACAATGTAACTATTACTGCAGTTACATATTGCTTTCCCAAAATCTCGAGGCAATGTTTAAAAGTAACATAAAATTTTTTTTTTTGGTAGTTAGTTAGTAATAGGTTGTCCACTTGCAGTAGTATTCTTTTATGTCTCGTTTGAAACTTTTCAAAACTTAGTTAGGCAGGTCTTACTTTTCTTTACAACCAGACACATCCATGAACTATAAAAGATTTCACCCCCTTTTCAGTTTGAATGCATGATCTGCTGAAAAAAGCGTGAGAAGCCAAAACAAATAATCAAAGCCGATGCAAATATTTTCAAAAAACTATGTAAAATTGATGAAATAAAATCGCGGAGAATCTCTATATATATTTCTCTTACACGGCGACAAAAAAAGTCTCATTACAACTCCCCGAATGACAACTCTAAAAAATTGACCAATGATTGCAGCTAATCATGTCACATGCTAAATCTAGCTGAGGTGGCTCAACATATAGCGCTTTTAAAAACGGAAACTGAAATAACCAGAGAGAGCATTNTTATGGTTATTTTTTGTTATTACCATAAAAAAATGGTAATTTTGCCAGAATGTTTTTCTCTGTGCAACAAATAGCACACGTGACTAAAGGGAAATTTCCCCATAGCACAGCAGAGTGTTCTATTGTTAGCCATTTTTTTCCTGCTGTTACAAATGTGTTGAAACAGGACTTATTTCTTTCTTTATTTTTAGGAGCAACATTAATTTGTTCGTTGTATGGTGTACTTCGAATACTTCTAAATTCATCAATAAAAGATACCTCTTCCTTAATGACATTCCATCACATAATCTATGTATCGACAATAAGCTTGCTAACACTCGCAACTTCCGTCACTGGTGGATCAGTGGCTGTGTAAGTATGACTTTTATGATTCAGTGCGGATCGAATTAATTTTCGTTCCTAAATTGTAATTTTTCGTATGAATCGAAAATAAGATTATATCATTATATGTGCAATAATACCAATATTGGCAAATTATGTTGCAGGTAGAAACAATTTTTAATGCAAGCGTAAGTTTTAAGAGAATTTTTTAAATTAATATTGGATTTTAAAAGGTGTGATAAAGTTTGGTATGTATATCATGATACTTCAAAGCATGGTATAAAGTGCGTAACAACTATACATAATGTTTATAAACATTAGTAATTAATATTTTTATTTTTTATTTTTATTTCCTATGAGCTACACAATCAGCCTTCCCGATGAGTAGACCTAGCGCATTCTCCAGAAGTTGTATCCACTCTTTCAGGACCACCACAATGGGTGAGATACCGTTGGCCATGTTAATTTAGACGTCTAGTTTCTGCCACACTAGATGGCAGCACCGAGACTCTATTTGGATGCTAAAGTGCGCTGGGAATTTAATTTTGTCGGAAATGTGAAGAGCCAATAAGGCACTCCAGGGATCTTTTACATGCCGCATAATCATACGTCATGGCCGCTGAGGATTTTCTGCATCCCGAAAATCCGGTGTCTGGGCCGGGGATCGAACCCGCAGACTTGGGCTCAGAAGCCACTAGTAATTAATATTGTAATGATTGTTTTTTCTAATTGTTATATTATGATTTTAGGATTTAATTTTAGTTAAAAATCATAAGCTTAAAAAAATTTAAATTGCCAAAGCTCCAAGTTTCAAAAGCGTATTCTTTCATTATCTGTTTATTTTAGTTTTTGCAAGCCAATATCCTTTCGCTTAGCATTACTCTTTTATTTTTAAATAAAAAAAAATTGAGGAACTAGAAAAAAAGTGAACATTAACCTGACATGTTGTGATTCGGTTAATGAAAGATTTTCTAATACTTTTTAGAAAAATATACATCGATCTTGATAAAAAAGTTATGTTAAAGCACTAAAGTAGAATTTTATTAACAATTTTAAAATATAATTAGCGTCGAAAATATATTGAAGAAAAGAAAAAGATTTTTTTTTACATTATAACTATTGCTACATTTACATATTGCTTTCCTAAAATCTCGAGGCAATGTTTAAAATTAAACACGATTTTTTTTAGTCAGTAATGTACAGCCTTAAAATATGCAGAAGAGTACTGTAATATAGCAATTGAAAATTATAAAAGCATAAAAAGACTTTAAGATTTTTTTAAAAGTGTTTAAGGTTAAAAAAAATGAAAAAATAAAAATTATTAATGTTATTCAATTTTGATTAACTGAAACACCATGTAGATACAGAAAAAAATTATAAAAATTATAAAATTATTGTTTGGATATATTACTTTGGTTTTTATGCAGATCAGTAGTGAATTTAAAAATAAAAAATATCTTAAGATAACAAAAGAAATTTGATGATAAGCAAAATCAGAGTAAAAATGTAACATGCTGCCTTACAAAAATGAGAGAAGGTATTTAGAATTATATAACACAAAAGTAAAGGAAAGATTAAGAACCAAAAATTAAGCAGCTTTTTAAAACACAAGGAAACAAAACGTGAATGACAAATTAAGTTGATGTGCATTAGTCAAAATATAAACAACTGTTCATGTTAGTTTTTATAAATTTTAGCAGATTTTTGATTTTAGTTTCTAACATAAGAGTTTTTACGTTTTTCTCCAATGGATGTTATGCTCTGGGGATGGTTTTCTTGTGCTCCAGGAACTTGTAAGTGGACAGTCTGTTAGGTAATGATCTGGAGAGCCTATTTTTTTTCTTCACAGGCGCAGTTTTCTTCTTCAATTTTGTTAAAACGTTTAAGGTACTTAGGGAAAGGTCCATGACCGGTATGAAAAAATATTTCCTCTTTTGAAAGATTTAAGTCTTTTACTTTCTGGAATTCCTGTATATATTTCAAGCAACAACCTGCAAGTATTCTTTTAGTCCATTTTCGATGCCATCTTTCTAATGTAATTCTTTTGAAGTCATTTTTTATTCTTGTTGCTGGAAAAAAGGATAAAAACGTGTGGTAACTTCTGCTGTGGATTCCTTGGGTAATTTATCTCCGAACTCGTTACCAACGATACGGTTTGTGTGCTTTGATTCAGTTTGAATTGATATTGCCATTCGTTTGAAGTTCTATTTGAATTTCTCTGACGATTGGATTCGGCGATTGGAAGTTATAACGTTTGATAGCATTGAAGGGCAGATTTGCTGTCAGACCAAATATTTACAGCTTTTGATTAAAGGGGTGAATTGACATACGTTAATGCTTCGGAAATGGCTAACAATTCGGCTTCGGAAGATGGAATTTCCAATTCCTCATGTTCATTTTATTTTAATTATGTCATTGCGAAAAACATATTCTGCTTTATTGTCTTGTTCTGACCCATTCTATGAATAAATTATCTCCGGGGAGGGATGGATTGCTTTGTTTCGTTGTTCTTTCCATCTTTATTCTGTTTGAAAAATGAATGGATGGATGTCGTTGAAAACCTTTTACACGTTTACTTGTGTCCTTTGAATACAAATTTTTACCATTCAAAAAAATATCTTGATTCATTTTCAGGAGAATGTTGAATTTTTTAGCGGCTTGTAAAGTGAGGTGCAAGAGAGGGATATTGAAAATAATATTTAAGACCATTGTAGGAGTCGTATGATAAGCGCCAGTAGTTAATAATAGAATTTTCCTTTGGAGGGATGTTAGTGTCCTTACTGGTTTAGGTGATGTTTCACTTCCCCTGACTATATTTCCGTGTGAGATTACTGTCATTGCTACGGTGTTACATAATAGAGTGCTTTCGTCTGGGGTTATGCCTCAGTTTGTGCTGAAAATTCGACAGAACATTCCTATGATATTGATTGTTTTCGTTTAAATGTAGTCTAAGTAAGCATTTCAGGATAGTTTTTTTTGTGGATCATTATGCTTAAATACTTAAAAGCGTTCTTTCTTAGAATTACGCTATTTAATTTAATAGTTGGGCTTCTTCTTAAGTTTTTGATTACTGTATAAGAAGTGTTTTAGGTTGGGAGCTGTAAATTGCGCTTCTTAAACCAATCATGTACTAGTACTAATGCTATAGAATTATTTGCCTTCATTTCAGTCTCCTTTCGAGATTTCTCAGTTTGCAAAATTATTAGATCGTCTGCCAACGCTTGGATATGTTCGAGTTGTGATTCTTGTGTTTCAAGCAAAACATTTAGTTCCAGATCCCATTGTGTTGGACCGCTGCAAGGACTTAGAGAGCAGCCCTTGAAAATCCTTTTGATTACAGGTCCATTTTGAGTATATATAATAGCGCATTTGTTTGCGTTAATGTTCTGAAGCATCTTACAGAGATTGTAAGGGAGTTTTGGTATTTGAAAAAGCTTGATGGACGATACGTATTCAATATTGTCCAAAAGCGCCTTCAATACCAATGAATATCGCGACGACATATTTTTCTGTTTAGCCTTAAATGTTTAATCGTTTTCCGTTAATGTAAAAATGGTTTTATCGACAAACTTTTCCCTTATAAAACCAAATTGGTTTGGGTTAAGAGAGTTATCGGATTCAAGATAAAAACTTAGTTTATTAGCGCAAATTTTTTCTAGAAGTTAAAAAAAAAATACTAAGAAGAGATGTTGTTGTTGTTCTTTATGCTCTAATTATCTGAGGAAGTCAGACAAGATCCAATAGGTTGTTGACCCTCAAAAATTCGATGACAAGAAGTGGAGTAGCATATAAGTCCTCCTTGGAAAGGCCCAAGCAGTCAAGGATATGTTCGGCTGAGGCCTGCTGGGCTTCGCAAGAAGCTATGTGATGTGCGTAAGTGAATAGATGTCGTTGGTAGGTTTATTTGGTTTTTGAAATAACATCACTTGAACTCGCTTTAAATTGGTCCGGAAAAAATTAATTTTTGACACTTATTATAGAATTTTAGTAAAAAATATCTTGCTTCTTCGACAATTTGTTTCGGGATGATATTGTCTATGCCGTTGACTCCTGGAGCTTGACTATTTATAAAATTTCTTCCATTATGAATAGTGGATCTATTGAATTACGGTAATTACTATAGTTAGGAAGGTCTACATGAAATGTTCATGAAATATTCTTCAGGACCAGCCTAAGATATCCTATATGAAACGGGCCTTTCTGATTCCAGCGGCCCAAGATCAAACGACGCAATCTCAATACGGTACTCTTGTCACTGCCTGTTCGTATGTATAAACTCGGAGCGCGCGATCCTGGGGAAGTGCTTCTTTTTCCTACCTCCGGTCTTGAAAGGGTTAATGCTAAAAATGGTGAGGCGAGTTGTAGCAAAAATTTCTAAATCACGATTAGTAAGTGAATTAACTATTTTAGAATAATACTTATGCAACACTTTTATTTGAATTGTGATCTTACATATTTTTATTATTAAGATGTAACATGCTAAACTTATCAAGTGCTACAATGGAAAGATAATATAATTACCCGTTTCTTTTTTCCTTTTTAAACTAAAACATAAAGTATTCTGAACTAAGGAAAAAAATCAAACACGTTTTGGTCATAAAAGTTGATAGTTCACATTTTCAGCTTTTAAAAAAATGTACACATATTTGCTTTGAAAGTCGTAAAGAACGTAGCAAATTTTTATGGTATTCTCTTTAATTTATTTAAGCCAGATCACATGTTTTGAAAAATGGAAGTTCTATTTTATTGGCAGGATAAAAATATTTTTAAGGGGCAAATGTAAACTCAATTTTCTATTGCGGTAGATTGATTGTGATTGGTCCTTTCTGTTTTCTCCTTTTCCCCCTACAGGTCTTACTTTTCTTTCAAAATTTTGAATTTAAATCACATCTAAACTAAAATGATGAACCATAAATCTTTTTTGCTCCATAAACCATTTTATCTCAATTTATTCGAGTCGACTACTATAACAATTGAATTTCGATTTTTGTTCTTTATTTCTTTATTTTCTTATCTTTATCGTTCTTTTA